TGATGGCACGTCACGTGATCCCAGGCCCCGCCTTGGATCAGCGACCTTCCATCGCGGCTATCCCGATGGTCTTCCTTCCTGCGGCCTGCATAACAAAAGGAAGCAACTCCTTGTTACCTTGTAACATGGGTCGCTTGATGCAGCGGAGCGTTGTAAACCAGGCTGGATCGCGGGCGTATAGTGGTGCATCGATATGCCACCTCTGGAAGCGTGTATGGCCTTGGGCATATTCTTCTGCTGAAAGCGGTTTGTCATGCCATGCATGTGCGATTTCCTTCTTGATCGTCGTGTCTTTGATACCGTAATGGTCTGCTCCCTGGTAGCCTTTGCCGATTAGACGAACGTTTTCTGCACCAGGTATACCGACAACATCACGTCCTTTCTGGAGGCAAATCAGTATGACGCATACTCTAGAATGGAGGTTTCCATACCGAAAGTAAGCCGCCCTGCTTATGGAAGGTCTTCACATCGCCGTGAGAGTGCACGTGAGGTGCTTTAGGATCGAAGCGTGTGACAAGCTCCCATTGCTTAATGGGTGCGAGATCCTTCTGACCCTTGACAACAACCAGCTTATGGGTCCAGATCGCATCAGATAGTGCCTTCACGTCGGAGTCTACAACAGAGCGTCAGTTCACAACACTTCATCATCGGGTCGGTGTTGTACTCACCACTGATGTTATCAAGGTCGAGATCGTCAATAACTGCTCCAAAGTTGTGCTTCTCCTTGGTACTTTTCGCCATCTCCTTGACCGTGAAGGTCGGCTCAGGGGCTAGTATACCAGGCGCCATGATTCTCTGTCGATGTCGTGAAGTTTGGTGACCAGCTATCTTCCTCCGATATGGTCTCCTTTGAGAAACCTTGAAGAGAAGAAGCGAAAGTTCAAGTGGTGAAAATGCGAAGCCAGATGTCATACGCGTCTGCAAATATGGTCCTTAGGTGCATGACTACTGTACTGCATATATGCTGAAGTCTGGAGTTATGTCCGCTTACCCACTCTTACTCGAACGTCGTCCCCGCATCACCGACAGAGAGCTCGGATCTTATCGCAGCCCTGTCCATAACGTTCTTGATACTATGTTGATGCATTGCCGAACGTGAGGGGAACCTTCTGCTAGGAGTCGCTAGCATGTTATCTTATCAGCTACCGCATCTCGGCCGAAACCCGAACTCGTGAACCTTGCCGTGCTCGGCCGACTTCCTTGTGCTGCCTGATATGGTGAATTGATCGTGGTTACATTGTCATTGGAGTCGAAGGCAGTGGCCAATGGCATTTGGCAACAATATCATTTGTTACGGGCCTTGCGACACATTGCCGATGCACGCCTGATAAGCCCTTTTCGCGTAGGAAAGTAATGACCGATGTGGCAGAGGGTTTGCAATGTCTTTCCTCGGTGTGTCGTACGGGGGAAGATCTAGGAGGCTGACACGATGCGACGCGACGCGTTCTTCACGGTGCGGACGCGCTACGGGTGCCTGGCAAAGTAACCGTGGTCATGTCAAAATGATGACATCACTATCCTGTTGCGTGGCTTGGAAGAAGCCGAAGTAAGAATGCTTGCAGAACCGTGCTGTAGGGAACATTTGAAGATGGACGCATAGGGTGGCTGGGGAGTTAGTGGTTGTGGCATGACTCGCCATACGTCATCGACACTATTGTTCACAGTCACACCTGGGCGTCTTCAAGGGATCATTTTAAGACGCGAATCTCAATAAGGACCACTTGTATTGTTTCATACATCAGAAAACTAAGTTACTCTCTCATTTCACATACACACTTTGGTAGCTCCCTCGTCAACCCGAAGGATGATCACTGGCCGCTATGTTGCACTGATGCATCACGCGCGGCCCATACGACTTCGGAAACTCGGTAATGCTATGCCATAGCGCCCGGTTGTACCAGAGGATGACATCCTGCTCCTTATGCGGATGAGCATAGATGTTCTCAGGCTGCAATGCCGGCCGCATGATCTTATCAAGGAACGCCCTGACTTCTTTCAAGTCCTCCACAACTCTTTCCGACCCATTTGGGCTACTCTTGAGGTACAGTTTAAAGGCACCTTGACCATGAACTTGCAGCGACTTCTCACCAGTTTTCGGATTTGTCCATACCATTGGATAGGTACACACTTTACTTTTGTCCCACTTGGGAAGTTTGTCCAGCGGCATCTCAAGTCCTTCAGTCTCGATGGAATGTCCAAGGCGGGTGCTGTGCGCTTTGGACATCCACACGAAAGCGTGTGGTGCGTATTCGATTCTGCTATTCATCGCGATGTTCTGGGTCTCTTCGTCCAGTAGAGCCAGCGCACGGCTACCAGCGACCATTGCCGTGGCTCCTGGTGCCATCTTCATTTGAGTCTCTGCTTCATCCTCCCATCGCACAGTCACATCTGGACCCTTGGGAGTACGAACAGCCAGAAGGCAGCCTACACGTGGAGGAGGGATGTCGTACAAAGACCCGTCAAAGTGCCATTGGTAGAAACGTGAAGCTCCAGCTTCGCGTTCTTGCGCTGGTATGTGCGGTGGAAGATGAAACTCTTCGTGGTCAATACCCTGGACTTCGAAGCCGGGTGGGAAACCGAAGTGGCCTTCTGGAACGGGCCCACGACCAAGGATATGAACTTGTGGCTGCACTGGGATCGCTGGACGCTTGGGAATACCATAGAAGTCGACGCCGTTGTGGTGGGTAAGGAAAGGGTCATGACCGTGCGCAAAGCCACCGGTAGTCTCCTCGCGGTCGAAGCTGATGTTTGGTCAGCGCGGTCAGGTCTAGTATATATGCATGACTTACTTTGCAGTCAGCAAATATTGCTGCTGTGGTGTCAGCATCTGTGGTTGCTCTTTGAATACCAGCAACTTCCATTTGTGCAGAGCATCAGAAATGAACGCGAAGTCTGCATCTGTAAAGTTGTTCAAATTGATCCCGTAAATTTCTGCGCCGAAGTCTGCTTGACTGCCTCCCGCGTGGTTGATGGGGACAATGCGTCCAGTTGATTTATCGGCGTGTGGGAGGTCGAGGATAGGCTTTTCTGCTTTAAGATGCAGATATTTAGACTCTTCAGTTATGACTGCTGTGACGACCATCGTGTTGATTTACTGTACAGGAATTGTGTGTTAAGATGGATACCCAGAATGCAACCAAGAAGGCCCTTAGATAGTCTAGAAATTATTGTTGGTAGCATCAGATACTCAGCGTAGTCTAAGCAGATACGTCTTAGCTACCAGCCATGGGTATGTCTGCATGATGTCCACCCCGAGGCGATGATCGCGGATTGGGTGGATTGATACCACCTCGGGATCCGATCAGCTACATTCGGGATCTCGGCCGAGTATCCTTGTCTGCAAACCTCTAGACATAGCAAGAGAACCACGGAGCCACTCGTATCGTTCAAGAACACATCCATACAAAATCTCTATTGTCGTCTGTACAGATGTGAGGTCTTCGTTCATGACCTGTAACATTACTCCCATACTTCCAATATGATCGCCCGCAATCTCACATCTTCATACCTCACCACAGCTTCTGGTACAAAGACACATTATCTGCAAGGTGGTAACCCTTCTGGGCCGCTTCTGATCTGCCTACATGGGTTAGGAGGCTCAACTGAGACATTCTTGCCACTTGTGCCCTCTTTGCTACAGACCCACAACGTTGTTCTCGTCGACTTCCCTGGATTTGGAAGAACGCCATTAACAGAATCCGCGAAACCCATTTCTATAGAAGGCCATGTCGCCGACTTGGGCGACCTCGTCACATCTTTACAAGGAACTTCGAGCAACCCAGCTTCATCCGGGGTCGTCATCATCGGACACTCCCTGGGTGCCATTGTTGCTTTGCACTTTGCCGCAAGGTATCCCCAAATCGTTAGAGGCCTCACGCTCATCGGTCCTGGTAGAGCGGCAGGTCATATACCCACAGTCCGGCAACGCATGCTTGACCTTGCAGCCGCGGTGAGGAAGGAAGGCATCAACTATGCGGCGGCTGCCGCAGCCAAGTCCAACTTTTACGAAGACACGTATGTATAGCTTAAAGTCCCGTGGATGGTTAGTAACTTGCTGACGATAAACTTTTAGTCAGTTCCGAAAGGTAGACCCAGCTACTAGAGAAGCTGTACGGACTGACGTCAGCTCTTCAAATCCTGAAGCTTATGCGCAGACATGTGAAGCTATCGTGGCTACTAGTCACATGGACCCAGAATACAAAGATATTACTTGCCCTATCGTCTTCGTGGCTGGAGACAAGGACATGATCAGCCCAGTGGAGCGATCGAACGATCTCAGTTCACTGGTGGGAGGAAGGAGCTGCGTAGTTGTTGTTCAAAGTGGACATCAGCCGATATTGGAGGACCTTCCTGGCGTTGAGAGAGCGGTACAACAGCTATTCGAAGCCACGGCTGAATAGATTGATAAATGCTGCATACTTGTGCAAACGATCAGAAGAAGCAGCATGCGGTATAACTTTCATTCCACATTACGCTGGAAAAATGTATACCACAACGAGCGGGTACTAGCAGTAAGTTACGTGCCTGCAAAGTCGTGATTTGCTAGATATAAGAGATCATCGAAATAGTTGGTACTTCCTAAGCCAGAAGCTGATAACGAAAAGCTGGGTTCTATCTGCCCAAAACCTGCGGTGAGCGAATCACACTGCTGCGAGTGGTATGTGGAACGCGGCCCGATCGAAGAGGGCGATGTTGCCGTATTTTCTGGCGGAGAGTTTCTATTACCGCTATTCGCCTGATAAAAGTCTTTCACCAATGCCGAAACGTCGAATCTGGTAACAGGTGTACCGTCTCTGTTGCGTTTCCTCCCTCGCTGAGCTAGAGCATCCTGAGACGTCTGGCCAATCAGAGCTTCAAGAAGTTTGCTACCTCTCGTAGCGATCATGCTCTCTGGTCGCCGTTGAAGGATCTGCATTACATCTTGAGCGAGTTCGCGGTGCTCGTAACCCTCATTGTCATGTAGATCACGATGAAGTACATCGAGTAACAAGGTGATGGATGCAGCGACGGCGAATGCTTGATGAATCCACAAAGTAGGGCCATCTTCGCCAATGAGGCACTTGTACTCTTTGATGATCGTTTTCGAGGCTGCTAGACATGTTCGACGGGTAAATGCAAAGGCAGGGTTGGCAAAACTGTCTAGTAGAAAAGAGCGATGAATCATGATGATCTTGTGACTTGAGGTGATGGCTAGAGCACGTCGCGCCCAAGGTACCCACTCTGGCCAGGTTGGATCTAAGGGTGTATTCTTCATGAACAACGGCCTTTCGCGGGTAGCTAATCCGCGAAGTCGTGCATCCCAATGCAGGACTTTCTCATAACGAGTGTAGGGAGTGTTAGATGAGATAAGGCCATCTTGGAGCTGGGGCATGATTATTGCGATGTCGCGCAGAAATCGAGAGTAGCTAGTGATGGTAGGTACGTCACGATCTACTGCAAGCAAATTATGATCGTGACTATTCGAAGGCGGTGCAGACGTCGAGTACCTGGGGCTGACGAGATAGCTCTCCGAGAAAGGTATGCTGAACCAGTCTTGACTGCAAAGCTGACACCATACCCGGCGACCAGTTTCTTTTGCTACATCGCTTCCACTGGTATCTGGCCCCAAGCGATGGATGCCCAAAGACTGTGCAATGCGAACGGCGGTGGCAAGATGGATGCTCTGCTTCGTGCTGAATCCCAGAAGATGAGCAGAAGCAGTTGCCGTGGCGATGGCTTGACACGATAGAATGCTCAGATTGCTCGTGTAGTCTGCGCGATTAAGACAGATGGATATAGCCTGGTACCATCGCCGCGATAGCTTTTGTCGTTCAATCTGATCGAAGCCCCATGATTGCGCACGTACATCAGGTACGCAAACGAGACTCGCAGTGAGCACGGAGAACAATAGAGCCACCCACTGGAGATCTACAGAAGCCTGATCTATGAGTCCGTCGTGCTTGTCGTAGAAGTCGCGAAGTTGTGCCTGGAAAGTGGGCGCGAAGTAGCTGCCGTGATACCACAGCAGACAGTCGCGATGATAATCAACTAACTCTTGCACTTGGTCTGAACTCGGAAGTAAAAGTTGAAGCACTGGAAGTTGCGACAAGTCCTCTAGTATACCCGACCCAGCTCCAGGGGGTGCATCATCGGCGGGTTCAAGAGAGGCAACAGTGTGGCAGTCGGGGTCTTTCCGTCTTCCCCAAGCCAGAAACTCTAACACTGTCGCAGCATCTCTCGAGACGGCCGAGTCGTCGGGCTCATCAGCGGACACATCAACAAGTCCACGTTGTGGTGTGTCGGGTTGCAGGCTACATGGCGGGGTCCTAACATCCATGGAGCTTTGCTGACTCGTCTCGCTTTCAAGCTGTGCGACTCGCTGTCGCAGATAGTCAAGCTCATGGGTTCTTGACTCCGAAGATTGTGGTAGAGGGCTTATATCGCGATGGAAGTTGTCGACGCCACAGGTATCTTGTTGGCCTCTTCTGACGCAGTTGTCACAGGGTACCGTCTTGCTGCATTTGACTTTCCTCCTTGCGCAAGCTGTGCAAGTCAGCCGACTTCGCGGTTGAGCCGACATGCCAATGCAAGACTGAATGATAGGTTCGGAGCGAATGTGGTTGTCGCCATGGTGCCAGAGAGCTGAAATGTCCGAATGATAAGCACGGAGGATGCGAGATGTTGGGGATGGGAGAGATGATAAGGGTGAGCTACCTTGCGCGACACCGGCCGAGGTTCGGCTGCACCACCCTATCCAGGTGGCGTACACTTGCATATCATCCCAACGAGTCTCAGTACAACCGGAACACCTTTCATCGGATGCAGTAACACGATAGCGAGCTGTACAAGGGATGCGCAATCTTCGATAGCGATGCCTGTCGGTCCAATCATGTTGACTCGGATGATAAGGCCAGTCTAGGCTACCCCATCTTCTCCCCAGTGTGACGGAACGTAAGCATGCCTATCTATCTTGAACACTGATTCAAGTATGTAGCGCAGACGTCTCAGGGTTCAAATAGGGTGTTGTGCTGTCAGACGATGTGTTGAATCTACGCAGCTTCATCATCATGCTGACACCAGTCAACCTGCGCAATCGCAGCCATGCGGCAAAAGAGAAGGTCAAGCTCCGGGTGACACAACCATCGAGCTGGCGGCTTCCCAAACAGAACAGTAGCATCGCACCACCTGATGTATGGACTAACGCGGACATGGAGCCGGTGCCTCCAGAAAAACGCACATGGGGTAAAAGTGCCTTCGTGACATACTGGTTCAGTGACCTTGTCACGATATCAACCTGGAGCTCAGGATCTGCCATTTTCACCTTGGGTAAGCGCTCATACCTTCTCTGTGTCGAATTCTGCGAATATCGTACTGACAGTGGCAGGTTTGACGGCGACTGACGCTGTGCTCATAACGCTTGTGGCGGGCATATGCAACGCCCTGCCGACAGTGCTCAATGGCGCCATCGGCTCGAATCTACATGTCCCATTTCCTATCGCATCTCGTGCCAGCTTTGGATACTGGTTCAGCTACTTTGCCGTCGTGAGTAGAGGTATCCTAGCCATGTTTTGGTTCGGCGTACAAACCGCCAATGGAGGTACATGTGTCACTGCGGTACGTTTTTAGGCAAGCTACGATGTATAGGACATAATCTGACTTGCCTTCTCAGATATTGAATGCTATCTGGCCAAGCTTCCGGGACGTCCCAAATCACCTACCCGCATCCGTTGGTCTTACCACAGCTGGAATGATTTCATACTTCTTGTATTGGCTCATCCAGTTTCCATTTCTTCTCATTCCAACACATAGGCTACAATACATGTTCTGGGTAAAGACTGTATTGTTGCCGCCGGTGGCTATTGGAATGACTGTGTGGGTTGCTGTCAAAGCAGGCGGCAATGGGACGTTTTTCACGCGTCCGGCTTCAGTACATGGTGCTGAGAGAGCTTGGCTATGGCTGTCAAGCATGACTAGCATCACTGGTGGATACAGCACTCTCGCTGTCAACATTCCTGACTTCTCACGCTTCAGCAAAGATCCTAAAGCACAATACTGGCAGATGCCGGTGATTCCGTTCTTCAAGACCATGGTCGCTCTTATGGGGATTGTCTCCGCATCGGCCGCCCAGGAAATCTGGGGCACGGCTTATTGGACACCACTGCAAATCATCGATACCTGGATGGACACTTCTGGTGGTCGTGCAGCAGCTTTCTTCTGCGCTTCGATTTGGTTACTCGGCCAACTCAGCGTTAACATTAGTGCAAACGCCGTTTCTTTTGCTAACGACGTCACGACACTCGCACCAAAGTACATCAATGTGCGCCGCGGCTCCGTTCTTGTGGCTTTCGTTGGTGGCTGGGCGCTATGCCCTTGGATTATCGTGGCTTCTGGAAAAGCGTTCCTAAACTTCATGAGCGCATACGCCATCTTCATGGCACCCATGGCAGGTATCCTGTTTACCGACTACTGGTTAGTCAAGCACAGAAGGTACGACGTGCCTGCTTTGTATGATCCACGAGGTATCTACCGATATGGTCGCTATGGTACAAACTGGCGCGCTGTGGTTGCCACATTCGTCACCATCATCCCTCTACTACCAGGATTGGCCAACAAAGTGAACCCAAATTTGAAGCTTTCAGCTGGCTTACAGAACCTCTTCACGTTCAATTGGCTTTATGGGTTCTTTTTGTCCATATTCTTGTACTACTTTTGCAACCTGTTCTTCCCAGCTGAGGAGACACTCATTCCACGAATTATAACCGGCTTTGAGTATTTGGAAGGGGTTGAGGTTGATACTGAGGCAGGAAGTCCATCACTCGATGGGAAGATTGGCGGTTCTAAGGTTGAAGCTGGGACACACGCGTCTCCTCGATCTTCGAGTCAAGTCCAAGACAGATAGAAGACGATACAATGTGAAACATTTGGATTGAATTAGAGCCCAAAGTCCTCCAGCTTTCTACCATCTTCCAATCCAAAGGTCCAAACATCCACATCGAGTTCCTCACCTGACCACCGAACACCCTTTACGCTCCTCACCCCATGGTTCCTGAAACGCAATCTTCTAAATAATTTTTGCGCTTCTTCATTGTCGGGGTCAGTCAGACCTGCAATCTCTTTTACGCCCTTCTCCTCGTTGAAGTAGGCGATCAGACCTTGTGCAGCTTCGGTCGCATACCCTTTCCCGTGATAACGCTCAATCATGTTGAAGCCCAAGTCCGGTATGGTAGGTGCTTGTTCGCCTGGGACACGACCGAGTTGCATGGTGACATAACCGATATGTTCTAGTTTCCTTCGTGAGAACGGAATGCCAGCGTTCTTTTCTTCTTCCGCTGGGGATGGTTTCAAGCTGACTAGGTACCGTCCATAGCCCGTCGTGCGGAGTTTCTCATCCCCGTTGCTTATAATTTTTCTGGCAGCTTCGCGATCTGGTATCTCTCCAACAATGTTTGGATGCCGTCGAACAGAGGGAGCGCCGTGAAGGAGCTCGATGACAAAGTCGCAGTGTGCATCAGATGATGGGTTGCAGTAGGAAAGGTAAAGGCGAGGAGTCAAGAAGTGGAAGTCGTATGGTGACATTATGAAGTTTGAGGAGAGAGTTCTGTTGATGTCTGCTAGTAACCAAGGCTTCCGCTGCCATGGGTTTGTTTATGAACATACACTGGACGCGTCAACGGGGTACGTATGGAAGCCTAGACTCATATGAGTCATCAACGTTGCTCCCTCAGGCGGCCAGCGCTAGGAAGCATGAGGAAGCTCAGAAACGGCGATGCTGGTATCGCGTATTCTCCTTTCAAGATACAGTACTGTTGTGTGTGGTTTCTCCGGACAACACTGCTCCGGATGACTAGACATTCCGATCAATCGATCTTATATCCGAAGAGATTACTCCGAACCTGTTCGCTCTCGGTCAGGTCATTCCTGCGAGCCAATCAAATGCGTCTGAAGAGCCAGCCATCTATCACAATCCCGGTAAACCTAAGTTTCATATGAAGAACAGAGTTGCCAGTCGATATGATGTACTCAGTCCCCCTGACTTCATCGTCTTCTTAGCACTGATACTGTAAGAGGGGCGATAGCTTGCCGGTCATCTCGGCACGCGACTGTGCGATTTTGAGACGTATTGCAGTAGTTGTAATACTGAGACTACAACGCTTAGTGAGGACAAGAGAGAAGCGCATGCGGGGTGTAAAGCTTGAGTTGCGAAAGGGTCGCGAGGTGCCTAAGCCTCTTGCGGTAAAGTGGATGGAAATTGTGGGGAACCCCCGCCTTCCGGTATTCTCTTCTTTCCATACCTCGACACCTGGCTTCTTCAAGTCACGAAACGTCGTATACCTACAAACGACATCATGGCGCCACTATCCGGATCAGCCAAGAAGAAGAAGCAGAAGGAGAAGGAGAGGGAGCTCCAACGCCTCAAGGTGATTGAGGAGCGACAAGCGGGGTCGGACACGAGCCCTGATGAAGAGATTCCAGCCACCCAGCCCTATGGACCTTGGGAAGAGCCAAAAGAGAAATGGGATGCACGTTTGGAGGCTCAACCCCCAGCTGAGAAGTACTCTGAATTCGAGAAGCGTGCAAAGGCCAGAAAAGGGCAGCCCATCGAGTATCAGCCTGCTGCGATCTCCGATGAGCAGACGCTACATGTAGATGCATCTACCAAGTTTGATAGCACCGCGAAACCTGTTCAGAAGCTTGTCTTCGCTTCAGGTATCAACTTGGACGAGTATGTCTGACTCTGTCCCAAACTGTAGTCACTTTCGCTGATCATAATCAGCACCCTCATTGACGTCATCGCGAATGCAGACGCTACGTTCCGAAGTGCAGTCCGTGTGTTCGTCGCCGGTGACGCCGAAAGGAAGGAGGCAATTGAGATCACAAGCGCCGGCGTGGAGAAACTCACCAAAGCCCTGCCTCAACTAGAGGTCATTGCTCTCCGCGGCACATCCAAGCTCACTCGTACCGCATTCCCAACTATTCTCAAGAACTGTGCGAATATCGAATCCGTCACCCTGACAGTCGTCCAAGGCCAGAAGTCCAAGCGCATACGTCTCAACAGCACACTCGAGTGGCTGAATGACAAGACTTTCGTACCGAAGCTGCGATACCTCGAATTCCGTGGCGTCTACCATGAGGCTTTCCGTCGCGAGTTCCTTGAGTTCCTTACCCAAAGCAGGCCGGCACTAGAGATCGTGTTCGAATTTGACCGACCAGCAGTACTTATCCGGGATAACGAGACCATTCCACTCGACCGCGTCCCTGCTGCTGATAAATAGAGTGCAAATGCTTGAGTTGTCCGATACCAGAGACCACCACGACGGGAGAGATGGATGTGAACATTTCTACGACGGAGGTCCTGTGTCTGATGGGCCGCAAACCGACGGGCGCATAATTGAATAACTTTAGCAACGCTCTACATACAAATTTACGGCCCGTTGGTGTCGCAAGGGTGAAAATGAGAAGGTTAGGTCATGGCAGAAGGATCGCTTATTGGCTCTTACGAGAAAGATGGAAAGACAAGCTCACACGATCGAGGAAGTTTGTCTGACTCTCGATGGTCAAGCCATAAAACCAATAAATAAAATACGACCACTATACGTGGAAACGAATCAAAAATACAAAAGCTGCGGATCCGATGCGTAACAGGACGTAGGATACTGACTGAGCCACGAAGCGTGCGTACCATCTTTTCCGTCGAGCTTAGGAATCATCGGCGACAAGAGGGCCAAGCTCCGTATGATGGAGATTTAATGAACGGAGATAGTCAAAGAATCCGAGCAGTTGAGACTTATACAAGCTGAACCGTTACGTGCGTTATCCAGCTATATCTGCACCCTGCGCGACAGGTTTGGTACGTATGATCGAGTGATGAGACTCATATTGGCTACCGTTGTTCATGTTTGTTCATGATTACAACCAGGACAGCGGGCACTTCTCCTTCTTTACACATAGCCAAATTGCGAGTGCGAGTGCGAAAACGATTCGGTAGTGGGTCCAGCCGCTGTTCTTGTGGCACCGGCGCATCAGCCCAGGCACTAATGGAAGCTAACGCGGACTTTATGCAGGCTGCTGACGGCCAATCGAAGCATCATCAGCGCAGACTAGACGTCAAATCTTCGATACCATCTCAAAACGTGATGCGGCTATGCTGTTTGTCGAAGCGGGGCTCAAACGCAAAGGTCCGATTTGCGAACCGTCATCAATCTGCATATATCCTCGTACCTCGCTCGGAGGATGACAACCTCAAACGCGATCTTCCCTTGCCGCAATGTCAGCAACTCCGGTGTCATCAGATTCAAGCCATCCAGGTGCTCCTATTGAGCTAGCTTGGTCGTCTCAGCGACCCGAGCTGCGCAGCGAGAAAGAAGATTGGATGGGCGTGACGAATCCCGTTGAAAGGCGAAAATTGCAGAACCGCTTAAACCAGCGAGCACGGAGTGAGTGGCCATGTCGGACAGTTCATCAAAAACAAAGGATACACCCTAACACGTCTCAGGAAACCGCGCCCAAAAGAAGAATGCCATCATCAAACAGCCACACAGTGTCATCGTACCGGACGAGACCCACGAGAGCGATGCATCGGGTCGTGAAGGCAGCACGTCCGATGCATCTCAAGATGGCTCCAGCGAACCGGATGGCACAGTGATGCGGAAGTCATGCATGGCCGCTCATCCAAAAGTGAAAGAGCTTATGCAACGCTTCTCCGAACATGCATATGCCAGCTACATGCAAGGGACACCCGCTTTGTCACACTTACCACTGCTTCTCAAGTATAACGTAGCTAGTGGTCTCGCGCGAAATGCCGACCTACTGGGGGTTACAGCACAATACTATGATTGGTATGGCATCTCGCCACTAAACAAGCAGGGTCCACTCTTGGGTTCGGGAGCTGGAGCGGAATGGCCTGCATGTCTACAACCCACTGAATTACAAAGTTCCATAGAGCATCATCCCTGGCTCGATCTGTTCCCCTGGCCCAAGGTCCGCGACAACATGCTGCAAGCGTTTCAGCGAACGGAGCCCGTTGACTATGAAGACGAGCTATGCATCGATGTCTGCGAATACAACCATCTAGATCGCAGACCAATACTGATAGTATGGGGTCCTCCCGAAGATCATCGCAGCTGGGAGATCGATCCTATATTCCTGGAGAAGTGGGGCTGGCTGCTCAGCGGATGCCCCGAAGTGTACGAAGCCACAAACTACTGGCGCGGAACACGAGGCGAGAAGCCGATTACTCCACAGCAGTGGCATAACACGATACAGAGGAGTTTGCCAGACCAGTTCCGCTAACGGACTTACGACAAGGGTGTCAGCAGAGTGCGGGTGGAAGTGGGCCATGCATGCATGACGCCATGGGCTCGAGATGACAAAACCATACCTATACAATGCGAACACGCTGCATTGTATCTGTATTACAGGTGTTCAGGCTGCCAACTATAGCGACTAGACTGCTGTCCCTCGAAAAGCGCGGATAATATGGACCCCTTCGCACCACCGCCAAAGCCGAAGACCGCCTTGGGCTGGCACCGCGTCTTGTCGCCCACTGCCAACGTCAAGGTTTCACCCATCTCACTAGGTGGAATCAGCATTGGCAACTCGTGGAGCAAACTGTTTGGTGTTAGTGAGGATGCCGACTCTCTGCTGGACACCTATTTTGACCTCGGCGGCAACTTCATCGATACCTCGAACACCTACAACTCCGAAGAATCTGAGAAGCTTATTGGCGAGTGGATGGAGAAGCGAAACAACAGAGACCAGATGGTGATCGCAACTAAGTACGGAGCGGGCTACAGAGCCTACAATCGGGAGAACGAACCGCTGCAGAGCAACTTTACAGGCACAAGCGCAAAGAGCATGCACGTATCAGTTCGATACAGCCTCCGTAAGCTCAAGACTGATTACATCGACATATTATACGTACATTGGTGGGATGTTGGCGGTAATGTGGAAGAGATCATGCGCCATCTTCATGCACTTGTCATGGCTAGACAGGTCCTCTACCTCGGGGTCTCGGATACGCCAGCCTGGATAGTTGTCAAAGCAAACGAATGTATGTACCGCGAGCATATACAACCCTCCACTTGAACCATCGCTAACCTGCCATACAGACGCCCGCCACCACGGCCTAACACCCTTCTCTCTTTATCAAGGCCGATGGAACGCCGCCTACCGTGATATGGAAGCCGAGATAATACCCATGTGCGAGGACCAAGGCTTAGCAATCGTATCTTGGGCCTCGCTCGGTGGCGGCCAACTAGCTACGACCTCCCAAAGAAAGGCTGCAGAAGAAGACCCGAAGTCTGGTAAAGGCTTTTATAGTGCATCAGAGAGCGACATAGCAGTATCGGAGGTCCTCGAGAAAATGGCAGAAAAGAAGGGTGTTACACTGCAGCAAATGGCATTGGCATACTTGTTCCATCAATCCACTCACGTATTCCCTATTGTGGGTGTGCAGACTGTGGAGCATGTCAAGGCAATGGTACCCGCATTGGGCATCTCGTTATCGAAAGAGGAAATTGAGGAGATACACAGTGCTGCGCAGTTCAACCCACTGTTTCCGCAAAACTTCATCTTTGGCGGTCGACCGTATAGCACGAGGCTGACGGCGGCGGACCAGGCGAATTACCAGATGGCCGCTTGGATAGACGCACCACCCAAGAATCCGGGGTACGCGCCACGGTCATGAGTGAGACCACTAGTACGGAGGAAGCGAAGAATCATGTAAAATGAGTGTATTTAGCTGTTATGCAGCTTCTATGTAGTAATGAAGTATGATCAAACGCCCTCTCAATTTGTTTCCCAACATCTTCTCTTACCCAACTACCACTTCTTTCTTTCTCCAGGTCTTCTACCTGTTTTCTGTACAACACGCCAGTTGAAGGCTTTCTTCCGTATGGCAATGATGTGTTCAGTCTAATGATATAAAGCGAATGATTAGAGTTTGAAACAGCTTTACTGTTTCTCTTGTAGCGCGGCACAACCAAGAGTCCACCACCTAGATGTAGAACATGGTATCCCTGATCTTCTGGTGGATCTGTACATCCGCCGCACTCGGATCCTGCCCCGAGCCCCCAGCCGCAGAAGTTCCAGCCACAGAAGGTGCTGCACTCGGCGTCGGCGTATCGAACAAGTTCGCCAGATAGCAACGCGCACGTTCGCAAGCCAGATCAGCGTAGTAAGCTGGTGGACAGAGACTGACAGCTTTGGTCGCACGACCGAACAGGTAACACATATTGTGCGTGAGGTCTTCGACAATGTCAGCGATGTTGCTGAACGGCGCCGGAACCTGTTTCGCGTAGATCTGACGGAAGATCTCGTCGTGCACGATGTAGTAATGGCAAGGGCGAGCCGTGCCCTGGAGTGCGGCGTGTGCTTGGAGGAAGAAGTCCCAATTGCGGGCTTCAGTCACGCCGCGATCAACGACAGTACCAGGCTTCGTGTTGCCGGAGCTCTTGCCAATGTCAGGGTTTCCGTCGCAATCTTTCGTGGCTGTTGGATAGAAGCGTGTCTTGTGTCGCTTGCCGCAGATGACGATCGTGAAGCGCGGGAGACCTTTCTTGGTATCGGTGGCTGGGTACACTACCTCACATGCTTTCCGCAACTGGGGAAGCTCTTGTGAGAGCACCATATCGTACTGTCCCTCTGATACTCCATCACGGTAGATCAGAATATTCTCAGGCAAAGCTTGGTGGGGTCTGCCTTGGTGGTCCTTGCCCTTGGTCCTCCACAAGTTGAGTCGTGATTTAAGCATCTCGGCGAGGTCGTCGACATTCTCCTGTCTTCCACGCTGGATACGCAGAGTAGCAGGCCATTGGCCAAGGAACCTGTCAACAGACGCGACCATTGCCGACACCGATGGTGCGTTAGAAGCTGAGCCAGGCGATGGGTGAGTGACGTCGATACCGACTACCATGGTTTTGTCAGCTTCAATCAAACCCAAGTTCGTTTTCTCGACGATCTGGTTGATGCCACCCAACTTCAGATTGAACTTCAGCGCCACGTTGGCAATGTATTGGTCCCGTCCTCGGTCCTTCCAGAGCTTAGAGCCTACAGAACAGATGGTGTGAAGACCATAGTCTTTGTCGGCGAGCGTCTTGATACGCTTGTACAGAGTTGTGTTTACCTCTGGTAGGACAATGAATAACAGATCGACACGGTCGGCCTCCTCTCGTAGGAATTTACCCAGGGAAGCGTCATCTGCGTGCTGAAGCTGGAGACGTTTCACAGGCATGGGCTGCTCAGCCATGACACCGACCTTGAGCAATCCTTGATGAAATTCCTGCATCACCGCAGTCAAGGCCTGGGCGTCAAAGGAACCTGGTCTATTCGGAAGAGTTATCATGACAGTCGACCACTTCGCCAGTCTGGTACCGGTGTGAAACTTGATGTTCATCATGTTCCAACGGCCAAACTTCTGGTCGACTGAAGCAGTTTTGTTTTGTTGGTAAATGACCCTTGGACCGGCGAGAACTCGACCTGGTACTTTGATTAGACCCGGAGTAACCGTAAGACCGAAAGAGCGCTAGACGTAGTCAACATATAGAACTATGATGGCAAGATTTGCGGCCTACCAGAAGTATGTTCGTATTTCCATCGAGCCCAACGGTCGGTACGCCCTCATCAAGAACCGACTTTGCGTTGTCCCATGGCTTACGAACAGCGTATCGTATCATCTGCTGTGTCTGGAAGGCATCAAGCTTGGCCTTCGATGGCTGACCCGGGACGACGATGCAAACCTCTGCAGGAAGGTACATCGGATTCTCCCGGTTGCCACAATTGACTACAGGAAGTTCAGGGTGTTGGAGGATACGGTTGTATGCTGTATGATGTTAGCATCATTGTAAGATAGAAGTGAAGAAGAGCATACTTGTTCTAAAGAAGTCGAACACAGTGATATATCGGCCGGATCCAGAAGGTGCTGGTCCCTTCGGCTGAGCCTTTCCTTTGCCCTTGCCCTTCGAAGCACTCGCTTCCGCCTTGGGTGCACCAGATGACCCAGCATCGCTGTCAAGCCAGAACTCAACATCCTTGGCGCCTGCGCCATGCGCCTTAATGCGTGGTCTATTGGCCAGTTTATGTCCATCGTCCTTCCTAGCAAGTCCAAAAATGGTCTTGATTCGTGGAATGACCTGACCAGCTTTGTTGCGCTTCTCAGGGAGATGATTTGTCTGGACGCGAACCAACTTAAGGAACTTCTCTAGGGCGCTGGTGTTTCGGGTACCATAGTTTCCCATAAGCGCTGGCAAGGGCCCATCGTGGTAAAACGCTCCGTGGCTGACATTGATGTTGACCAAGATTCGAGCCGTTGCAACACGCACGCTGGAGAAGAAACCACGAATGACATTGAGGCCAGAGCCCAGGTCGGCTTTCATCGCGTTCTGATTGAGAGAGAAGCTTTTCGTCGACCCTATCGTGGCAAGATTGTTTGCCGACTTAGCGTAGTGATTCAAAAAGATATTGAGCGCTTGAGTCAGCTCTTGCTTGTCACCAAATGACTGACCAATGTTGGTAGAGTTCATCCAGTTGACCAACTCACCAATACTCAAAGCCTTTGTATATTTGACGCGAACCTTGTATACAGCGGCGTTGGATGCCGGTTCGTCCTCGCCTTCGGACCGGAACTGAATCTCGAAGACGTCGTCGTCATGCTTGAATTTTGTCTTCGAAACGATGGTTGCTCGGAAATCGGTTGCAATATCCGCTTTGTGTACAGCCATTTGCGGCGTCTGGAGTAGGAGCTCGACAATTCTGTGCCGCTTCCTTCCAGTCGCCTCGGGCTGAACATCGATATCGTAGCGATACAACACCATGTCTGATGGTGGCAGCAACTCAACGTAGTTTGCAGTAAGCTCGACCTTGATACCCCTAGTCCCATACCCAGGCCTAGTCGGGTTACCCTCTTTCAGCTTCAAAGTGCTCAGATCGAGCCCTTTCTTTGCAATCGGAAGCAGGGCATCTTCAATCTTGGCGACCTTCGGGTCTTGCGGATTGGAGTTGCTAGATGAAAGTCAAAGCCGATAGGCAGGAACATGGCTTCGCAACTTACGAGAAAGCCTCGATGCCTTGTTGGCCACCTCCAGGCGGCCCACTATAACCTCCTCTACCACCACGACCTCCACCTCCGCCTCTATCTCCTCGAAAGCCCCCACCTCTATCGCCGCGGAAACCACCGCCCCTGTCGCCACGAAAACCGCCGCCTCTATCTCCGCGAAACCCACCGTCTCCTCTCCCTCGACCTCCAAAGTCGCCTCTTCCGCCACCACGGCCACCTCCACGATCACCACGATCACCTCGATAACCACCTCGGCCTCTATCTCCTCCACCGCGACCTCTTTCTCCGCCACCTCGAGGTGCGTTGGACATGATTCTGAATGGCTGAGTGAGGCTTCCGAACTGGACAAATGGCGCGATGCGTGCGACGAGCTCAGCGATCTACACGATACGCTGGACTCAATGTGGGTGCACCCGAATTCAAAAGTTGAATTGTATTCCAAGTAATATGCTGAGAGTTTTGTTGTGTATAAGGCAGCAGCAAGAAGGCTGAAGATGAACGCAAACGCGGTGACGCGAGGAAGCGACAGCGCGAAGTGGGGCGTCATCCCGCCCCCGCACCAGTCTCATGCTTGATCAGACGCCAGCGCCCATCTTTCATTCCTTCCATTCCGTACGGCGCCTGGCTACATACTGACTGCTTCTTGTCGCGGTATGTTTCCGGTGCAAACTCGATAAACATGCTGGTACCTAGTCAGCCACACGCCTGCAACATCTGCCAATCCAAGCTACTCTTCAACAATCGAGATTCATGGGAGGAGATCACCGAGCCTTGGTCGACAACTGGCCACGATTGGGGATATTGGTTCGATCTATGGTATGGTGAGGCAGTTGAATTGGCACAGCATGGCTGCGAATTGATGGAGTGGCTTGTTACCTTACGCCGACCGGACACAACGGCAGACAGCCAATTGAGAGCCTACTACACGCATGTCTCTGAAGAGCAACTAGCATTGGATTGGGTTGAAGAAATTAGCCAGTACACAGATAGCAAGGACTTTGGTCGGAAGCTAGTTTTGTGCGCAGAAGCTGAGTACGTATCTCGCGGAACAAGGCTCGGCCTGTACACTAACAATGGAGCTCAGCGACGTGGCTGCAGCGGACATCAAACAAAGGCCGCCGAACTTGACTCCATCGTCCAATGAAACCATGTCTAAAGCTCGCACGTGGTTGCAAAGATGTTGCAGCACGCATGAAGCATGCGCTACTCGTGAGTTCGACAGCGACCAGCTTGTAACCAGCGACGCACAGACATTGAAACCCCGTCGGCTTATCAAAATATTCCAACGGTCTGCAGGCCCAGCCATAACTGTACATCCAAGGTTATGTCTAGTCGATACAACGTACATTTCGTGGCCAAAGTATGCAACCTTGAGCTACTGTTGGGGAGGAGATCAGAAGGTCAAGTTAACAATGAGCAATTTAGCTTCCTGGCAGTCGAAAATCTCTTTCCACAATCTACCTCAAACTATAAAAGATGCCATAATAGTAACAGCCGAGCTTGGGCTTGAGTATCTCTGGATAGATGCTCTTTGCATAATCCAGGATGACGACGCTGACAAAGGTGTGGAGCTTGCCAGGATGGGTGACATCTACTCCAAGGCTCATTTTACCCTGCTAGCATCACGAAGCCCTACGGTGCAAGACGGGTTCCTAAAACCGCGATATATACCTAAAGAAAGAGGGTATCGCTTGCCTTACATTTGCAACGACGGTCAGATAGGTTCCGTGGTTCTCTGGGCGGGCAGAGACGTTGGAGTCGCAGAGCCGATCCACCAACGCGGATGGTGCTTCCAAGAACAAATCCTTTCGCCTCGCATCCTGGAGTTTGGGACTCATCAGATACGGTATTTGTGCACTGCAAATCGCACGGAGGAAGTTGTACCCGAGACAGATGGCTGGATAACCAACTCTGAAACTTTCGCGGTACATGGAACCGGTCGTCCGCTCGACCTTCCCGCCAACTGGGCTACCCTACCAGTGGATGGAACCGAGTTCCTGACTATGTGGAATAACATAGTCATGCATTATAGTCATTTAAGCTTGAGCTTTAGTACCGATAGGTTGCGCGCTATCTCAGCTATTGCCAGAAAGTTGAAGCAGGCTTCATCGGCACGATACTATGCTGGACTTTGGGCAGAACACCTGCCGAGCCAGTTGCTTTGGGAGACTACCAACGACGACAAGCTCTTTCCGAAAGCTACTCGAGCCGCTAAGCCCGCGGCTCCATCATGGTCCTGGGCTTCCATGCAGGGGCCCATCAGTCTCAGGGACTATGAAGGCCACGCCGCCTACCAGATACTGGAGATTTCGATCAATAATAGCACGCCTGGTGACGACTTCAGTGACGTTGACATTGTTGACGCTAACATCAGCCTTCGAACATTGACGCTTCATGCTAGGGTCACTAGACATAAGAGCCCGTCTTCACCATGGTGGCCGACAGACTTAGTCGATAATTCGTGGTCGATAACAGTACAAGAAGATTCAGAGCAGTTCTTTCCACTTCTACTCTTCATAGATCCCGAATCTGGAAAAGAGTGGAGCGATATTTCGGGTCGATGGGATGAGTTCACTACAGGAGATCATGCAGTACTACTAGCTAAGATCACCCTCGGCAAGGGGCTGATATTGAAAGCGAAACCAAGCAGCATAGAAAAGTACACGCGCGTCGGCACCTTTCAATTGGATACGTACGTCGAAGACGACGATCGATGGCAACAAAGAGACATTTCCATTTATTGAAACGACCGTTTTGTGCATACGTGGATGATTATGTTAGAGTTTCGACCGACAACATAGGTAGAGATATACGTAGTAATACATCTTACTAGCTTATCATCCTAGAACTCTATGAGCACCTTCAGGGAAGACTGTATTTGCACATCAGGCTTAGTTAGGGGACCAATCTTTAGTGTTAGGTGCATGCCGCTCCAGCATGCAACTCAATGTGTCGATGAATTATTCGCTAGGCATCAAGCACCGGATGCAATGACGAAACGAGAAGACGCAGCGAGGCGAGGTGACAAGCACGCGAAGTGGGGTACACTGCACGCGAGCCGCCCTCCCGCAGACCCGTCTGACACGCGACGCGTCGTTATTTGTGCAGTCGAAGGTGGGGTCAACAATCTCCTAGCGCCCGCAATGAATATGGGGACGATGCAGACGAACCGGACCAAAGAGATGTCGCCCATGATGTCGGTGGCATATTTGGAATCAGAACATCGTTTTTGGTGTAAGCCACGCTTTCTTGCAGCGTGTGCATTTTACCGTTTCCGTCTGGATCTATTTTCTCTTTCTCATACACAATATACAAGTTTTAATTACGCTGCAAAAGGAAGATTTCTATACTCGAGTCGCTCCCATTGCCTTGTAGCTCCCTGTACGCTTCAGCCTGTCTCCTGCTGGTGAATGTTGTTCGGCTGGGTGGGCGCAGACCCTGGTGCGACGGTTGTGGAGGCGCAGGTAGCTGCTTCTCAACGTCTGGCGGCGATCGCTTTTCCATGGTTACACCGCGTCGGTTATCGGGACGGGATTGGAGAGTTTGCATGCGATATGATTCCTGCTCAGACTTTGCTGCCGAAGAAGACGACAACTTTCCTGAAAGGAAGTTTGTCGATGGGCGACGACGGGACGACGACTGGGAGGTGTTGCCGAAGACGCGAGGGAACATCTTGTTCATGAGGGGTTTGCAACCTGGGAGGCAGCCGCACACGACACCGACACCACTTTCCACCGACATGATAATGAATGTGGTGGCTCCATACCCTGTGCGTAATGTCAGCCGGCTGTTGTTGCAACTCGAGTTCGAGCGATACTTACAGAATACATCGAAGGATACCAAATATTGATGGGTATAGTACAGGCGCACGACACCGGCAATGCAAACACTGCTCATATGTTAATGCCGATCAGGATCATCGAGAACGGTGGACTCACATAACACCTAGTGAAAACATGCTTATCAATGTCACGCGCTGACGGAGCGATACCTGGACGTTCATAAGGTTCCTTGCAGGCCACAGAAATATGACAAAGTCGCTGAAAGTATTTTGTGCCGAATGGAAGTAGTAGATGGCCTTGATATTGAGGCATTTAGCTGTGCCAATGTATTTGAAGATCTCCCAGTAGGTGCTTGCCGGCCTGGACTAATTGTCAGCCCCCTTCGTAGTAGGTTGATTGGAGGTATGTGCTTACGAGCATTGGAACAAGGTGATGAAGAAGCAGGCCGTGTTCAAAGACACCGTGTAGAAGATCATCAAACGGCAAAACCACTTGTCTAATTTCGATGGGAATATGCGGATGTAGGTGAGAAGAATCGCGACCTTCATAAAAGTGATAATAGCTGTAAAGAGCAACTGGCTGGACATGCCCATCTGGATTGCTGTTAGTATGGGTGCCACATCGGGTCGTGTATCATACCTGTGCGGACTTCATCGTCCCGAAAAGTCGCGATGGACGAATATCCCCTGCTTAGTGTAAGCTGTTGTGCATCTGTATGATCACAATTTACCCACATAGGTGGTACCCCATCTGATATTCTGGCAGCATCGATATTATGAGCATGATGTTACTTCCAACAGACATCACCTGGATACGTTAGTGCTCTGCGCTTCATTCGCCGGAATAGAAGGTGTAATACTTACAGCTGCTACCATCATCGCCCAGTCATCCCAACCCAGTGTATTGACAAGAACTGTTCGGCAATAGAATCGACAAGAGACGAAACCAATGACCAGAACAGTCATAGGAATCAGCACGGCCATCGCCAGTGGCAACTGATTAACTGGGTCGACATAGTTGGGCGGTGGAAACGATGCGAACTCTTCTGGCGTTGGAAATCTTGAAGTCATGTCGTGTTTACCCAGGCGCAAAGAGTCACAACAACCGCATGGGTGGCCCGCGGATAGCACAAAAGCAATCCTGAATAGTCGGGAGCGCCCGCGGCTATTATAACCGGCATGCTTGAAGCAAGAGCCGGCATACACACCAGCTACCCCGCGGCCTGTAGGAGCAGGACGTGAAACTTACTTGAAGTGAGCTATGCACGTCCCTTGCATAGTGTGAGTGGCGCTTTCCTGCCACCTGCTTGAAACGACACCACCGCCCGAGAATCGCGACTGGCCCAGACAACGTACGCTTTTGTGCGGCTGAAAACACCCAGGCGTTTTCATCGTTATGTGGCTTTTCGTGTCATATTTTGGACGGAATCCTTCGCAATAGGCGACGAGAATATCGTACTATCATTAAATTAACCAACTTTGGGTACGCAGCATAAACACGCCTGTCCAGCGAAAGGTATGCGTAGTGTTGGCAGGTTGAGCATTTCATTCTTGCTATATGGTGTAGCCAGCATCTCCACCTAGGTGGGTGGGCGCGAAGATCGTACTGATCTCCCTATGGTTCCCACAGCACCACACGTGGACGCAAAACCGTTGAGAGACCCATGCGTTCTTACCATATTCTCCCTCATGGTCCGAAACATGATCAATTCCGGTATTGAGATGTCGATCGCACTGTTGGGTAAAACGGTGAAGGTCGGCGACATGAAGAAAGCCAGATGGATTCTCCGACTGAGAACCAATGAAAGTCATTCAATCATGCAGCAATTACGAAGGTGCTTGACGTGTGGTGATGGAGGTCCGCAAAGAGGCAGGTAGCTCGCTTGATCTGACGAACTTGCCTTAGCTAGCACAGGGGCACCAGAGATAAGGCTGGACGTGTAGCCGAACATCGTAGAACAACCCTATAGTAAGCTCCCGTAATTGCAGGGATAATCGGAAACATTGGTGCATTCCATACCCAGGGAACAGCCTTGAACGGTGCACGTGCTATAGTATGAAAGAAGTGGGCCGTATCCCGTGTACTCGGCTCGTGGAGATTGGGGGCGGAATGATGGTTGAATATGACTCGATTGGGACGCCTTTGACTGAGACAGCTTACAAAATCCTCAAACAGTAGCGACGGGAGGTTTTGAAGTAGATTGATTCGTTGTAGTTCGGCAGTTGCTCAAGGTTCGTGTTTCAACCGAGGTAGGTGATGACAGCGGCAGAAACCAAGCTACGGTTGAAGCCACGGTTGATGGCGTGGCTTGGCGCGTCTCTCAGCTCACCACCACCATAGGCGCAGCAATAAATCCTCATCCTTAGTGTCAATATGTCACAGACTAGCTACGCTTACGGCGAATTACCGAGGTCTTATCGCAGTGCGACTTATTACTCTTCTACATGATGCATCTCTTCCTTTCCTCATCTTCGCAAAGCTCGTCTCGAGGGCATGTACGTCATCGGCGTCCTCCGGGCTTCCTCATGCGTACAAATCAGGATTTCAGTGCAGGCAGCGACTCTGCGAAACACAACAGGAGTGCCTCACAAGGTGTACTTGCCACTGTGGCTCGGTAAACCTCCCCAGCCACCCAATAATTCATGCAAAACGCACGCACCATATTGCGATACTTCAACGAATCCTTCATAACATGGCTAAAATGTATCTAGGATCGTTCGCCCGTGTCCAGACTCTATACTTACTTTCTAAATTACGTCCCACATTCGCCCTTCACAGATCAGCTGATGCCTGGTCCTCTGCGCTATGCGCGACGGATCTTGAACGGCCATACGTTCAGACTTCTCCATGTCATCCCCGCTTTCGATCAGCATCAGCAGCTGGAATGCACTTGTCACCCTTACAGCATCGGTGATGCTCCTCCGTACGAGGCATTGTCTTATGTATGGGGCAGTTCAACACCATCTGTCGAGATCCTGTGCAACGGACAAGTGATCGAAATCGGGCCAGAACTTTCGTACGCATTGAGGAGATTACGTCTCCGAGACTCTGTATGCAGGATCTGGGCAGATGCACTTTGTATAAACCAGACAGACGACGCAGAAAAGAGCCACCAAGTGCCCCTCATGGGCAGCATCTATTCATTGGCGAAAACTGTTGTGGTATGGTTAGGGCCAGGAGACGTGCAACACACCCGACGAGCTTTTGAGTGTAGCAAGCGCATTGCTATTGCTTGCAATCAATTTGATCATCTTCATGGCAGAGACAGCTCCTCGGAACGGCATGACGAGGTCTACTTACCAGAGAGTTGGTTCGATTCTCTTACACTTAGCAGCTTGAAGGAGTTGTTCAATCGACCCTGGTTTTCCAGAATCTGGTGTATCCAAGAGATCCGCCTAGCTAATGACGCTCTTGTGATGTGGGGAGATTATGAGATCCTGTGGACGGAACTCGCGGTGAGCGCGTCATGGCTCTTCGACAAAGGCACCTCACAGGATCGCAGCGACCCCGTTGCACGTTTAGTTACAGGAGTCCCTGTACAAAACGCAGACGTGATGCGCGATAAGGTCATGCACCATCTTCTTAATGCGTTGGATATCTTTCGCACTGGGTTTCAGGCTTCTGACCCTAGAGACAAAGTATATGGCCTTCTGAATCTGATCTCTCCAAGGCTCGAAGTAGACGCCCTGAACTTGGATTATAGCAAGAGCGTTGGAGAAGTATATGCCGATACTGTCCTTGCTGATATCCAACTATACTCGCGGTTGACCGCCTTCGCTCGCATTACACATCCTGTGGACTACGATGGGCCGGGCCCTGGGGACTATGAAGATCCCAAGAACTTCAAAGGAATATCAGAGTATAGGTCATGGGCTCCGCGATGGGACTCTATAGAAGTCGCAGAGAGTATGGGTATCGAGGATGTACCTTGTCCTTGGAGTGCGTGTGGCGACAATCTAGCGGTTTTGATCGTTGCGAAACCGAGTGAACCGACCCAGCTCTGCCTCAAGGGCGTAATCTATGGCAGAGTGGATGAGGTTGGCGACATCATGGATTTCTTCAATCTGGAGGACCCTCATTACGGCGGCGAACCACAGTCTGCCAGTGATGGTGAGAATGCCGACGAAACTATTCCTGGTACCGAAGGCGTCGATTCCGGTCACAATTCAACTGGAAGACATCCATATATCAACAATTTCGAAAGGATAGACGTGAAATCGTGTCCAGAAAGATTCGCTCGGACTCTGACAGGAGGTCTCTGGGGAAAAGGTAACCAATACCTCGAGCATCTAAGCACGGAAATGCAAGCAAGGCATAGTGCTGCATGCGTTCGTTTGCTGCGTCGATTGTCGCATATAGAAGAGTTCGGCGAAGAGGGCGAGTATGCCAATAACGCTGATTCACGCCAATTTGAACGCGATGCTCACATTGCTTGCACGCAACGACGCATGTTCTGGACGAACAGGGGATCGTATGGCCTAGGTCCACACTGTATGCGGAATGGTGATGTTGTGATTGTACTTTATGGCGGCAATACACCCTACGTATTGCGGTCGAGGGGCGATGAATACATATTCATCGGCCAGGCTTACGTCGATGAGATCATGCACGGAGAGATTTTTCACGAGTCGAGGATGTTTGCGCTACAGGAACAGGTCTTTTGTCTTATATAAGTAGCAGAGTAGGCTGCAAGAATGACTTCCACAAGTCATTGCAGTTGATGAACGTATCTACTCTTAGTACATTCGGCCAGACCCTGGTAGCTTATTCCTGGGTCGCATTATCAAACCACTTATTCTCTTGGTTGTCACCACCCTGGTTGACTGTGTTGTTGCTCACTCCGTTACGCAAACGCCCTTTTGGAGATGCAGTCAGATCATGATGCCTTGTGGACCGTCTTCTTCGAAGATTCGGGCTTCCCCTCCTGGTGACCTGCCGATGTGGCGCCGACAAAGTCATTCTCGTGAGAACGCCAGCCATCATCATGACCTCTCCAGTCCGAGCCGATCTTGATCTTGTCGAGAGGTACCCATTTCTTGCGGTCGTCAGGTTTAGTTCCAGTCTCCGCCACGCCCTCGATGAAGATACGGGCCCACTGCACCCCACCCTCATCTGTGGCCTTCTCCAGAATCTCTCCTTGCATATCAGGCCTGTACTCGATGTTGTCCAATGTGAAGGTCTCGACGATGTCGCAGACCCTATGCGGAGCTGGGCCTATGGGCCCGCCGTCCATTACCCTCTGGAAAAACGCGGTGTAAGGTTCGAGGATGTTGTACGGTGTACCCGGCGGAAGGAAGACCATCGTGATTGTACCGAAGCGTGTGATGGTATAGAATTGTGTAGGTACCGAATGATGGTTTTGATGTAGAGATCAAAAATGAGGAAAAGGACAAGTGGGACAAGTAAAGGCGCGGACGCTGTTGCGAGCGTTTGTTTGCTCACGTGAAGCCGTAGACTACAGGCAGACACGAGGAGACGTCATACACACCGAGAGACTCTTCCTTGGACGGTAAACGTGTTGGACCCAAGCCCGATATCGCATTGCATTAACCATCAAAAAACGCGCGTATGAACATTCGATTCTGCGGCCCCACGTAGTCTAATAATATTTACAGAAACACTGTAGCCACAATGCTCCCATCGTTCAATACCAGATCTTGAGCTATGGCAACGATCAGGTCGCCTTGATTCGATCAAGGTCAGCATCGCTACCCACACCGGATATTTCCTCGTCAGAGCTAGTTCGCTCATCATGATCAACTGTCTGGGCATTCTGTCTCTTGGCCACCTCTCTCGCGTGCAGTAGCCGGATTATAAGCGCAGTGGCAATCAGCGCAGCGCTCAAGAATGTGACCGTGATGAAACCCTTGCGATACTGAGGTGCCTCGACCTGCTTCCAAACTAGAAGTGGTAGCCATGCCTGTAGTACATAAGCCATCTCATTCATAGCTGCCACGACAATGGCTCGTTCCTCGTTGTCGTGTGTGCAGATCTCGTGAGCCCATGCAAAGCATAACCCGGAGAGACCACCACCGAAGCCGGAGAGGATGTAGCAAGCCCACTTCCACTTGATGGGAATATCCCATATCGCAAGACTGGTAGAGCATATGATGTTCATGCATCCGCCGAAGACGATAGGTTGCCATCTGGATCCTTTGAGGATACTATCGCTCGTCCATGCATACAAGAGTGTGGTAACGACTTGTACTGCATTGGTAGTAGTTGGGTACTGCGAACCATGTTAACGAAAGTTGTCATAACACGATGATATAGCATTACTTACCGTGTTGATCTCGCTGACAGTATACTTCGGGTCCTTGCTGGCTTTAAGGAATTGCTGGAATACCGGCTGTCCACCCGAGGTACCATTGTTAAAGAACACATAAAGCGGAACGAGAGCCCAGATGTGCCACGATGTAAAGATCTTCTTGACCTTGGCTCTGGTATAAGGCTTCCGCTTTTGCCGGCCTTCGAGCTCCATGCGCTTCTGGGCGAATGCAACTTCATCCTTTGTCAAGTAAAAGGGCTTGGAGATTTCGGGAAGATCGGGCAGTGCGAAGAAGCCAAGCAGTGCGATGGGTAACGAGATAACACCATCGATAATGAATAACCACTGCCATCCCTTGAAGCCGCCGCGTCCGTCGAGCTTGTATACGCCAGCCATTAGGTAGCCAGAGAACATGGTCGCGATGGCGCCGCTGGTGTGAAAGATACAAGATCTTTTGGCGAGCTCTTCTCTTCGATACCAGGATCCGATGATGTATTGCATGCCTGGGTAGAACGTACTTTCAGCAAGACCAATAAGAAACCGCAAGGCGTAGATGGTTTCTGCGTTATTGGCACGGCAAAGACAAAATGTCAAGACGGCCCATGTAAGCTGTTGCCGTTAGTATATAGCTTCCACTACCACGTTACTAGACTGTCATACCTCCATAGCTGGTATCCAAATTGATGGGCGCACTCGAGTTAGAATGATGTTACTGGGTAGTTCGCCGATGACATAGCCAACAGTCCAGCAAGTTTGCATGTAGTTGAGCTGGTTGCCGTAAAGCCCAAGATCCTCCTTCCTGTCGCAATGTCAGCCAGCTTTCTACAACAAGTTCTTACTACATACATCCCAGACACGAAGGCGCTATTGATGTTTGATTGATCGAGGTACTTGATGAAGTACCCCAAAGACGCAAAAGTAAGCAAAGCAGCGTCGAGCTTGAACATGAACCATCGTTCTTCTTTCGGCTTGTCCAAGGTATCCCAAAGGTAGTAATACCACTTGTGCGGCTTCGCTTTCAGCTCTTCGTCAGACTGAATGACGGTTATTGCAGGGTTGACTTCCGTCGAGACGTCTTGAGGTTGACCCATGTTCGTGGACTATCGGTATGAAGCGTGTCTCTAGAGTAAGAGTATTGGCGAAAGCCTCAGCTTTATCGAGCAAGCAACACAAGCCCTCTCTGCCATCGATAAGACTGTCTACGGCTTTTGCTTGCCGGCATGGCGTTCAGCACGCCAGTGGCAAGTGGTTGCTGCATAGTGGGAAGCGTAGCGCGATTCGACATACTGGGGATGATATGGCGTAATGGCAGGGTCCGCGTGGGGTCGATTCATCCGAGTAGCTAGTCTGGACCCAACAAGCATAGACTAATATTGCGTGTTCGATGCTAAGATGTGAGAAGATCGCCGCGATGCATGGCAATGCTGTGGTGTCGCGTGTCGTGATCAGGCATGCATATGGCGTGCCTGACTCAGGTGATAGCCAAGCGAGTAACGCCGATGTTTGTAATGCCTCTCATGCACTTTGGTGATACCTGAATAGTATCTGCGCAAGTCTTAGTCTTGATCTAGGCATTGAAGCAGCATGAAGTCATGGGCGCGTTTGTGCTTCAGAACCCGTGGGCACATTGCTACGTGGAACTGCGAAATTGCTTACATTCATACATTCTGCTATAAACATGTCGCTTCGAGTTGCCGTTCAATGCCTGGATTGGCAAAGAAAGCTTTCATCCTCTCCACCTGCTCTGCTTTCGCAGAATGCCATTTATCAGAATGCCCACGCAGTCGCTCTTTGCCTGCTTTTTCCAAATCAGAGTTTACCCAAGCTATGAGTTCTTTGACATAGCTCGCTTCCTGATCTCTCAAACTGTGAAATGCCTTTCCATAACCCTTGGTTTCTACTCGAGAGTTATACTCTAATCTCATCGCATCTTTGCTTGGAAGCTTTGCCTGTCCCGAGAGTACCTTTGCAACAACCATGGCTTGGAACTCGAACAACGTGAACGTCGCTGTGAAGAACGGCACACCGACAAAGGCGAGCGTTGGATCATTGATGAAGAAGATGTCTTTGTGCAGATTGTGAAACTGTGTACCGTCTGTCACTAGTAGCGTATCGTCGGCCTGATCGACTGGTGTCTCGTCCGAGGTGAGCTGAGATAGGAAAGGCAGTGTTAGGTGGTAACCTGTGCAAAGTATGACATGATGAATGTCACAGATCTTTGCACCTGACTTCAGCGTGACGGTAGCTGGAATCGGCTGAGTGTCATTCAATGAGGCTAATATGTTCACTCGTGGTTCGTCGTACGATACTATTTCATCGACGCGGTACGCGTTATCTGGGAGCATGCTTGGAGGCAGGTCGAATTTTCCGTTCCTTTGGCTTTGTATGATCTTGTTTGCATACGGGCTGAGCTCGCGCGCGATATCCGTTGCTGACACACTCCCACCGACAAGTAGATAGTTCTGAAGTAAAGTCAGGCCGAGATAACAAAAATCTTCTTAATCGGATCTGTACGCACCTTATTATGAACATTCTCGGGCTTTCGATAGAGTTTGGAGTGCTGTACTCTGTCCGGAAATTGTCGCTTCCAGTCTGCGAGTCCAGGCGTATCAGGGATCCTCGGCGCGTGGTAATGACCAGATGCAACTACTACAGCATCAAAGTGCTAGCCCAAGGTTATTATCGCGAAGATGAGTCTACAATCACAAGGTGCTTACCTGGGAAGATTCGTGTCGCCTTAACACACCTTGCGCATCGGTCTGCAAAGTCGCAGTCTCGACAGTCCATAATCTACCGTTCTTGGTGACGCTTCTCACATCGGTGTCGTACTGTGTCAACTTATGCACCCCCGTTGAGAGAGTAGTAGCCTGTATGTAGCCGCACAAGACATCGTGCGTTACATAATCCTCGGTCCCGGGTGGAAACTGGTTCAAGGTGGTTTCTAACAAACGTGTACTCACGTTGTTCTTGAGGCCCACGTAACACGGACTGTGGGAAGTCATTCGAACGTACAATCCGATAGATAATCTTGTGGTACGTACCCTGGTGGCGCATGAAGCAGGCTTTCGACATCTTCCAGGTCTTCGCTTGCGTGAACACTGTCAGCTCTCGAACGCTTCGCACTTGAATATGATGGCTCCAAGGGCTTTCGCTCATCGTAACGCCTTTAATCTCGTCAGTTCAGCTGGAAATCCAAGAGTTTCGGGTCAAGTACCATATGCCTCCTGCAGCACTAGATCGCTCAAAGACTACGACCTCAATGCCCTCCTTCTTGAGATGCGCTGCAGCAACGACACCACTAATGCCTGCGCCGATTACAGCAACACGGTTACTCGGGAAAGACATGCTCTGAATATTGCGGAGACAACAGCAGGAAAATCTTCGCGGTCTGGGTGTTGTATCGATCCGGAATCATTAATCGACGGTCACTGCGACACACCTTCTTGACACCGACATCGAAAGGCATCTACATGTCAGCATTCTTCGTGCGAATCCTCGTTACATAGTTTGTCAGCGTCGAGCATATCTCCGTTGTGGTGTGAGTAGACACAACGCGTGATGGTGGATACGAATGGCATCATGGGAAGCCCTCGTTACGAGAACACCAGACAGTCGGAACCGATACATTTACCTGCAGGTAACATGCGAACTCCACAGTTTGGTGCATTTGGGGTGAAGCGAAGTTTCTCCGAGCGATAACATGAGAAACGTTGACTGGATATTCGTCATCTGCAAGATTATGATGTGATCAACCCCGCAACACATGTCGCAACCAGCACGCGACGCCGCCATATCGCTCGACCATTTTTGTAACTTGAATTAGTGAGCGAACAACGAGCAGGAAGTGGGGTAAAACGAGTCCAGGATATAAGAATGATGGCATCGCGAGTGGTGATGTTTGCACAACTGCATCACAAACGACTTTCATCATGGCTCCAATCGCAATTCCTGTTCACGAGCACATCCAGGAGAAGGATACCGTTCAACCACGGAAAGACTCTTTAGGGTTACCAGAACCTGCCAGGAAGAGACTCGAGAAAGCTGGTATCGATTTGTCGGCCGGCTATCCATACAGGCCAGCGAAACCACTCTACCTTGACGATGTCTACAAGATCAGGGATTACGATCGTGAGCACATTGATCCAGGTTCTCGAGCTGACCCAGAGAAGAAGGCGCTGTTCGGCGCTGCAAAAGAGATTATCCACTTGACCTCACACATTGGAACGGAGATTGTTGGACTTCAACTGAAGGACCTTACAGACCAACAAAAGGATGAGCTTGGTCTTTTGATCGCCGAAAGAAGTGTAGTGTTCTTTCGTGACCAAGACCTCTCGCCCCAAGAACAGAAGAAGCTTGGCGAGTACTATGGCGAAATCGAGGTTCACGTAAGTTGTACTGCTCGTGATATAGTTGCCATGCTGACAGCAGATGAAGCCGCAAGTTCCCTTCGTACCCGGTGTACCAGGAGTGACCGTTCTCTGGCCTGCTCTTCAGGCTACCGAGGTGCCAGCAAGCTTCAGGAAGACAGGCGGAGCATCTAGGTGGCACACCGATCTGGTGCACGAACGCCAACCCGCCGGGTAAGTGGCAGTGTTTCAGATGAAGCGCTCATTCCTGACTCGTTTTAGCGTGACTCATCTCCACAACGATACTATCCCAAAGATTGGAGGCGACACTCTTTGGGCTTCAGGCTATGCCGCGTATGAGAAGCTTTCTCCAGAGTTCCGGAAGATCATCGACGGCAGAGAAGCAGTGTACCGCAGCGCGCACCCGTATCTTGATCGTGAGAATACTAGCGCTGGCCCGAAGCACATCGAACGCGTTCATCCGATCGTCCGTGTGCATCCAGCAACCGGATGGAAAGCTCTTTGGGTCAACCGCGCATTCACCGACCGCATTGTCGGACTCGACAAGGCCGAGAGTGATGCCATTCTCAACTATCTCTTCGATGTATACGAGAACAACGTCGATATCCAGGTTCGCTTCCGATGGACTCCGGGAACCTCTGCATTATGGGACAACAGAATCACCATCCATAATGCGAGCTGGGACTATGGAGGGATTGAGCCAAGGCACGGAACGAGGGTAACGTCGCTGGCAGAGAAGCCGTTCTTCAAGGCGGATGCGCCGACTCGTAGGCAAGCACTAGGCCTTGCAGGACCTGAGGATATTTAAGCGCTAAGTTGATGCCACATCGATGTTGGGAACGGCAGGCGAGTGGAGCTGAACTATTGGCGAGCTCGAGAATGACACTCGACGAGACGCGTTGGAATGGGGGGCGCGTCGCGCTGATTGAGAAGCTACTCCTGTTACGTATAAGCGCGATTCGAATATGGGGTCCAAGATTGCATCATCGACCCCTTCTATCAGCTTCAATACATATTCGTCTTCAATAATTGCCATTTCATCGCTCAATTAGATCGCTGATTCTATCGCACCAATCCGTCACAGCTTCAACAATGTTTCAGCATTCTTCCACGCGAACATATCCATCTCAGCGTCAGTCAAGACCTGCGCCTGCGCCAACTTTTCGACGAATGCCCATCCATCTGTATTCGTACTGAACGGGTAATCGACCGAATACATAATCCTCTCGACTGGGCTCACTTGCCTCAATTGCTCAAACTGCCTCACAGTGAAGAAAGCACTCGTCGTGCTCCAGATATTTGTACTCCAAACCCGACCGAACGTCGTATCGTTACGCAAACCTGTCGAGTCGATTCGGTCAATGAACATTGGCAGTCCTTCACCGTTATGTCCGATGATCATTTTCAGCTTTGGAAATCGATCGAATAAGCCTGCGCTGTAAAGTCGTAAGACATGCGTCCCGACATCGACGTGCCATCCCCACGAGTTCGTCCCAAGCCGTCCAGCCACGGCAGCAGGATAGTTTCCGGCGAACAGCTTGGACGCAATATCGGCAGTCGGGGCAGCAGGGTGCAGGTATAGCGGCACATCGAGCTCCTGTGCCATTGCAAAGACTGGATCGAAGCGTGCAGCGTCGTAGTACGTGCCGTCTTTGAGGTGATTCCATATCATCGCACCCTTGAAACCAAGCGTTGTAACGCTGCGCTTCAACTCCGCAGCAGCCTCTTCCGGCAGAGACATTGGCAGGACGGCAAAGCCAGCAAAGCGCTTAGGGTTGGCTCTGATTGCTGAGCGAACAGCATCATTTGCTGCGCGACATCCTTCTGGGTCGTCCAAACCCGTGGCAGACTGCTGGGCAAGGACTTGCATAGACAAGTGGCCGGCATCCATAGCAGCGAGTCGACCGGCTCCAACGTCCTTAAGCTTTTCCAGTACACCGGGGTAGCGCTGCACTATGCCTGCAGCAACCACCTCAGCTTCCAAAGATGGCGATGTGACATGCTCCTCAAGTGCGATTAGGCGCTTTGGTAGGTAACAAGATTTGGGAGGCGCGGGAGGTGTGGGTATACTACTCGCTGTAAGTGCGAGGGCGAAGAGAATCTTAATGTAAGTGACATGCATAGTGAACAGCTACGACTTGGAAGCGCTTCAAACGAGAGGATCACGCAAGCATCTGAGTTGCTATATACCTGATCAGGCATCCGATATCTAGTGTCGGCCTAAGCAAAGCCAGCACTGTTGCCATATTAATCTGTTGTAGCAATGCATTCTGCCGTAGCGCAAGGTTCAGCTGTGTATCGAGCAGCCTCGTCTGGCCTATGCAGTCTTCTATCGATTTCATGATGGTCTGACTGGCTAAGCTTTTAGTACCCCGCGTGGCGTCCCAAGCGAAGCTTCTCCAACGCCCGCGAGGACTAGTCGAGAGTGCGATGGAGCAAGATCCGATGGAAGGTGCGATAGCTGCGTTGATATTAGCAGGGCTTTGACGGCGTCCGCGGCCTTTTCAAGAGTAGCTGGCTCAGCTTTGGTGTGCATACATGAAACGTACGGAAGACGTTACCCAGTGACAAGACTTTGAAGCTGTTTTGACAAAGAGCACGTATAGACGTGAAAATTCGGTTCATGGTCTTGAAGTTTTGTCGCACTTATTGGAAAATGAAAATACTCGCATCTCCACTGATTACCTGCATGGTGTCAGACAACTATGGTCATGGGCGTCGCGTATATGAGGATTCGCTTTTGCGTCGGGACCACCGGTTGTTGCGCTCCAAGATCCATCAACATATTCGGTATACTGTACTTGTAGACGCAGGGCAGATATGTAACAAAACCGCAGAAGGACAGGCTAGCAATTCGACATGTAGCCTTGAGCCGAGCGGAGCCCTTGTTACACGAACAAAATGGCAGGGCTCTTGGGCGGTTCGAACAACGATTTGTAGAAGGCACACGTTGTCGGTCTCAGTCAGCTAAATCAGGCATGGAACGTTAGCGGCGTCGCTGAACAACCGGCACCTGGTTGAGGATCGCCCACGCACAGCGCACCATAAGCTTCTCGATTTCTCCTAACAAGCAATTAACGAGACCTTTCTTGTCGCGCATTACATCGTCACATCCATGACAAAAGTCAGGCCCAAATAAGCCATAATGCGTCTCTGTCGTCTCTCTGACATGCCATTCGATTGCTTTGGCACGTAAGATGTTGTAGTGGAGTATTTAGCTGTTCTCCATCTGAACGAGTGCTCGATGCAAATTGGTTGTATTGTTGCTATGTATAGCTATTGTTGGTTGTTGAATGAGTGTCGTGTGTGTTGTCTGAAAGCCCATCAGCCTTTTACTTTTCCTCCTACCTTCGCTCGGATCTTCCCGCGCCGATTGCCCTTCAGTCCGTTACTATTCCAATGTTTCTCCACCACAATGTGGCTCAGACAGCTTAGCGCGGGCCTCAAAAGCAAGCAAACGCGCCCTACATGTAACTTCTATAGTCTAGCGCCGGGGCCAGTAGTCCAAGGATACAAAAGCGACTATCTCTCTCACGTCGCATACTCAAACATTGAGCAATTACGATGAGTACCTCAGCCTCTTCCAATCTCGAGCTTGCAGACCGGGGAGAACATGCTCGAGAGCAAGGGAAAGTCTCGCTACCACCTGTGGATGGTGGAAAAGGTGCATGGTTATTTCTGGCTGCAGCATTCGTCGTAGAAGCACTGGTTTGGGGTAGGTTTACCTGTTGAGCGCGTGCTTCACTCTACATGCGTACCAGAGGTGATAGTGCTGATGCGAGTAAGGTTTCCCGTTCTCATATGGCGTGTTCCAGGAGTACTATTCGACCCATGAGCCTTTCGCTGGTTCCGACAACATTGCTGTCGTTGGCTCCTGCGCTATGGTATGTCATACGCTAACACAAACCTCATGATATACTGACTCGTAATAGGGTATCATGTACCTCAACCTAATCGTCATCTTCTCCATGCTGAAAGTATGGCCGCATCTTCAGCGTTGGGCTACGGCAGGCGGTCTGCTCGTCATGTGTCTTGCCCTCAGCCTCAGCTCTCTCTGCAACAACACTATTGAGCTCATAGTCTCACAAGGAGTCATATACGCCCTCGGAGGTAGTTTGACTTACTCGCCTTGTATCCTGTACATGGATGAGTGGTTCGACAAGCGGAAGGGTTTGGCATACGGAATCATGTGGGCGGGCACCGGCCTAGCCGGGGTGATACTACCCCTTGTTATGGACGGGATGCTGCACACATACGGCTTTCGCACTACCTTACGCGTATGGGCTATCTGTCTATTCATGCTCACCGCCCCGCTACTCTACTTCGTCAGACCGCGTATCCCACTTGGGCCCAAGCAACGCGCTCGCAAGATCGACTTCGCCTTTCTCCGCACGTCAACGTTCGGAGTTCATCAAGCATGCAATATCGTCGAAGCTCTCGGCTTCTTTCTCCCATTTATCTACCTCCCTACATTTGCTCGCAGTATAGGCGTCGAAAGTAACACCCTTAGCGCCTTGACTGTGATCCTTTTCAACGTCGCCTCTGTCTTCGGCTGCGTTGCTATGGGTTCGATAGTAGACAAATGGCACGTCACAACCTGCATTTTAATCTCTACTATCGGCACCACCATCAGCGTCTTCGTCATCTGGGGCTTCTCCAACTCCCTGGCTCCACTGTATATCTTCTGCCTGATCTACGGCTTCTTCGCAGGGAGCTTCACAAGTGCCTGGCCAGGAATCATGCGCGATGTTACCAAGAAGAGCGACACTGCCGATCCGAGTATTGTCTTTGCATGCCTGGCGGCAGGACGAGGCGTTGGCAACGTGGCGTCGGGTCCGCTCAGCGAGGCCTTGATCGATGGCTATCCGTGGCGTGGGGAAGCTGGCTTTGCGTATGGTAGTGGCTATGGCACGCTAATCGTGTTCACTGGTATTACCGCACTTCTTGGTGGGTCAAGTTTCCTGGGTAAGCGGCTTGGGTGGGTGTGATTGTGTACACAAAGATTGGTATACCACCTTCTAGTCAAAACTTGAGCTGAAGAAAGCCTAACGCCTGGTACAATGTTGTTGAGACAACAAACTAGAGATGTTTTCGACCTCTTATCGCATCAAGTCATGAAGCCGTGAGCACATAGCCAATTTGACACTGCCCGCCACCCGAGCGTCACAACAAGAACGACGCCAATGACCAGCAACACAGGGCACACCACAGCGAAGAACACCCAGAACTTCTTCTCTCCCGGCAAAAATTCGCCTCCCATTGACATTATTCCTGCAACGATAGATATAGGAACAAAGAGGGTTCCCAGTACAGTAAGCCAGCGAATCGAGCTTGCTTGCGCATTACTCGCCTGCGCCTCCCTCAGCGCAATAACCTGTGTATATGAGTTGGTTAATTGTTGGAACATATCCTGCAAATCGAGACAGGTGGAACGCAGAAACCGCCACATTTGTGCCTCCCGTTTACCGACGAATCCATAACTTTGAGGGTCGTCGACATCGATACCGAGTGCACGCATGTTGGTCTCAACCTCCAAACGGTATAGGTAAAGGTCCGTCGTAAACCGCGTCATTGTTTCAAACATCCACTCTTTCCAGTCTGCTCCCCAGAGCACCGTATGTCTGACCGAAATGCCTGTACCTACGCGATGACACGATGGTACTTTGGAGAAGAGCGCTGCACGCGTATGACTATAGCTTCTGCGAATGTGGTTCAATTGCGCAGTCCATTTGCTAATAACAAAGCCACGGACGAATGGAGTCACGGAGAGTGGATTTCCTCCTGGACCAGCGTTGGCGACGGAAAAATGAATCATGACATCGTCGTGCAAGACATACTTCGTGAAGGCGGCACTGGGATGCCACTGTAGCGGGTTAAGGGCTATGTCAGCTTTTCCCTCATCCTCCAGCTCTGGATACCGGATTATTCGACTGATATTCGTGTATGGGCTGCCCTCGATAACAGCTAGGTGCGATGGGTCTTTGAGACATGGATCCACCAGCAGAAGACCTACATAGTCAACTATAAGTATACTGAGCTAAGAACGAAGCTCAAAATTAGACTCACCTTCCCAGCCCTTTTCTGCAATCTCACGGTACCAATAAGTGACCTGACCTTCTAGTTCAGAAATTTCGCCTCTCGTATCCCATGGATCATAGCTGGTCGGTGTTTCCAGGCTCCTCTCCACTATGAATCGTGGATTGGCGCTTTGGTCTCTGAGTCTGTCGTTAGGCTTGAGCCATGGTGGACATCTAATTGGGTCGGGATTTTGCTTTGCAGATACTCGTGGCATGACGATGGGATACCTCAGCGTAAAACTTCGTCTCTTATATGGCTTATGGAGCTGTTCATCGTCGCTCTCGTAGTCTAGGCCGTTCTCCGTACTAGTCTGGACGACAGAAGGAAGACCAATGATGTTGTCTGATATGGTGCTACTTTCCTCGGTGCTATAATGGCGTGCAAAAACCGTAGGATGGATGCGTAGTCTTGACCCTAGAAGACAAATATACCGCACAGGCATGTCTTCCAATACGAACAAGCGCCTCGAAGACGTCTCTCCTTCTTCAAAAGATTTATGCACATAGATCAAAAAGTCGTCAAAAGTTAGAAAAGTCCTCGAGCGTAGCCCGTCAGCCTCGAATTCGATGACCGACATACGAGACATGTCTTCTTCTCGAGACGTTTGAGACACAATGGCCTTGTATAGCCCACTATATTCTGCCGCTTTACCCTGCAGAGCGCGAGTCGCATATTCGCGTATCAAACACAGATATCCAAAAGACTCATCGTCCATTGAGTTGATGAAGGCATTGAAGTCGACTTGACTCTTCCACCGATCGTGCGATAGCACTGGCTGCCGAAATTGATCGTCCCAAGGTAATTCGGAAGAAGCATCAGGTGGAAACCGCCGATGTCGCCATGGCGAGTCCGGTGCATGCTTCTCTTGCTGCATTCTTGCACTCTGCTTGTGGCCCTACTCTTACTTGACTAGTTGTATTCGTACCTCCAGTATTGATCACCCCAAGGTGTTGGTGCTTCCGGGTTTTCCAGGTGATATTTATTCGCCAGGTCCAAGCCCAAGCCCTCAGGAGCTGTGTGGTAAAGATGCGACGCTGACACCCACTTGATGTTTGGCTTGACTTTGCTACTAGCCCTGTCCGTCTTTCTGAAAATGGAGAGAATTCTTCTCACAAAGCTGGCTCGCGCGGGTTGCTTGCTATTTACTGTTGGTTCCACGCTGAGAATGTATCCGAACTCGCTTTGCACGGCGCCGTGCTCGTTGTGTAACCCGTCTCCAGCCTCAACGATACGTGAGCGACGAAGAAGGTTGGCGTCTAGCTCTCGGTCCGCCGCGAAGATGTAAGGATTGCCGCTTTTTGGCGCGTCGACAGATGCACTACCACCGTTATATCCACCGCGGCCCATCGCAATGGGCAGTTGTGTTCAAGCGAGGAGGATCGTGAACGATGCTGATGACATGGTGGCCTATCTGTGGCAAAGTGAAAGTGCACATGACCTTGTCACTCGTGTAACAAGACTAATGCATGGCTCAAATAGATGCGGAAAGAGGGTAAGCCCATGCGGGATAAGATACCAGGCACGGGTAGAGCATGCGCAAGGCGTCCAGACCCTTACAGGCCAATGGAAAACAACCTGAACTGCCCAATGACCTCATCATCGCAACCGATATTTCCCACAATTCAGCATGATTTTTGGTGGGCTCCACGATCAAACTTTCGCTGTATAGCAGTGCATACTTTCATAAAAGGTAGGAGCTCAGAAACTACCATACCTAGCTACGAGTTTTGAGTAGATAGTAATGTGGCACCGAAACTCGCACGATCGCCAAAATTTGCCCTCACACCGCGCTTCATTTTTCTTCTGTCAGTCAAATGTCATCATTTCGGAAAACTCAAAGCGCTCCATGCGAAAAAGACTGGACAACTCGCACGAGGTGCCTATCCGACCGTCTTCACTCGGCGAAGTGTAGGTGCTATCGCCGGTTTTTTGGCCCTGATTCTCTTCAACCTACTGCGCCATTTTCCCACAATGATACTAGCAGCTTTCAGTTGCCTCGCCTTTTCGATCTTGATGTAATCAATCTGTGTTTGTTCCACATCGTACTCCTTACGAATCCTGTCTACCCACTCCGTGCAGGGGACTAGCTGGCTGTCCAGGGTCATCATGCCTGCCGGTATAGTACGCCATTTGGCCCAATCGAAGGGCGGTAACCGGAGCATTTTGTGGTCCTTGTTGCAGATCAGAGGGTGTAAGTCGCCGGCTTTTAGCTTATCGTAACATTTTGGACAAAATTGCCTGCAGAGACAGTGCTTGCACACGTAACAGTCGACTAACATATCTTTCCATTCGATTCCGCAGCTCCCATCGCATGTATAACCCCATATGTACGCCTTGGCTGTCGTTGTGTCTGGCTTGGATGCGTCTTGATCGTCTTGTACCTTCTTGTCAGAAGTCGTTGACGTACCATCGGCGCCTGGAACTTCAAGGCCTGGTTGCGCAAGCTGTTCAATGTCTGCACCATTCGCATCCACTGTCGAGGCATTCGACAATTGGTATGGTTTGATTGCTTGCCATGCTGCAACAGCATCGATGTCTTTGTCAAGGACAGTCAGCGTCTGGGCAAGGTTCGAGAAACGAAGGCGAGACGAATCATCCCCTGGAACTTCAGGCCACTTATCGAAGACACTACAAAGTCGAGCCCGCACCTGTACGAAAGCTGAAGCTTGGTCTTTTTTCAGGTGGTATAATCTAGCCAAGCAGAGGCGAGGGTCGAGATAACCTTGACGAAGATCGCAGATTAACGTGGTGTTCAAATTAGCGAGCTTCTCCAATCTGTTGATGTAGTTCTCGGAGGAGTCTGATGAAGCTGTTGCGAGTTCAGCGACTGCCTTATCAAGAAGAATCGAAGCTAGCTTGCGGCTAGCAGTGTATGCTGTAGTGTACGACGCTGAGATTTCATCAGATCGCCGGACAACTTCTTCCCAGTACTGTATGCTCCGATGTTGATCATGCTGATGTTCACTTCCGTGGAACCTGAGAACGGCTTGGAAGTACCGCAGTGATTCTGTTGCTTCAGCAGAGCTGTCTATTTTCGGCCCATCTGCTGTGGATGGGTCTAACGGCTTGTAATCAATGGCTTCCTGGTACACGGAGATGACCTTTTCTACGACTCCAGCATATTTCGCAGCTACGATGATGCTTGTATGCAAATCCTCATAATATGCCGCTTCCCGCAACAAATAAGTGGTATCATGACTTTGCGCTGGCGCGTCTTTCCGGTTGAGAATAAAGTTCGTGATGGATTGATAGTTTTTCATTTCTGACCAGGTCGTGAACAGTTCCGCAACAGCACGAATGTGGGTCCAACTCATTCCGGAGTCTTCGTCGACGACTTGGCCTAGAAGTTCTTGAAATGACTTGACAGCGGACTCATGGTCATGACATTCTCGATGACAAGTTCCTTCCAGTAGGAGCAAGTCATAGTAGGTATCCTTGTAGCCATCCTCTGCCTCGATAGATGGGTCGCCGAACGATTTGAAGTCTTGTATGTACTTGAGTGCCATGCGATGATTCTTTTCGCTCTCGTGGGCTCTGGCTAGATTGACGTAAAGGCCCCAGCTTTTCTGGGAGTTTTGCTCGGCTTTCTCCAGCGCAACGATGGCTTCTTTGTGATGTTCAAAGCCGATGTATGCTGCACCTACCCGATAGTCCCAAGTGAAGCTGTCAATGTTGGTCTCTGTGTGTTCCTTTACCCAACTAATGAACTTGTCTACCTCCGCAAGAGAAGGCGGGTTCCATTCCTCGAAAGGTTTCTCAGGAGTAAGCATCTTTTCACTGGTGTCAGCCAACCCTTTACCACTGATAGAGCGTACTTACCTTGGCAACCATGCCGTAAGAGATCCAAAGATAGTCTCTATCTGTTATTCCAGTCGAGCTAAACCAATGACTTGCCAAGCGTGCTGCGACGCGTTCGAAGATAGAGTATTTGTTTGCGGTATCGGACATGGCAGCCTTAACCCATGTGCTCTTATCTGCATCTCTTGCATAGCCTTTGGCCACTTGCGAACAGAGTTGCTATCAGTCAATCAGTCAGTTGTCAGTTCATCTTTGCGGTTCAAACTGTCAGTCTGGAGGTAGTGAACTGACCTGATTGACTGCCAAGACATTTTTTAGAATCGCGAACTGAGACT